ATTTGCTCTATGGACTTAAGAAACGGAATCTATCTAAATCTAAAGCCATGTACTATGCAAACTCTACTGCGACAAGAAGATTGTTATTACTATCTGGTGATGTTGAACAGAACCCTGGATGGGAAGGTCAATCTGAAACACAACAATTCGATCAACAATCAATAATGGTACACAAACGAAATCAGTCTGCCACTAACTTAAGCTCAAATTTAAGCATTCCTGTGCATATTACCGAAAGAATGAATTTATATCGGCAATTGAATGTATCTCGTAGCCCAAACAATTGCATAAGCGTTGATATTAACAACAGTCTGCTGTCATCCAACAATTTTAAAAGCCTTAACTTTTGTCTTATAAATACTCGATCCCTTAATAACAAATCCGCTGAGTTTATAGATTTCATATGTGATCGTCAACCTGATATTGTCGCCTTAGCTGAAACCTGGTTCCACGAACATGAAACTGCTGCTAGATCTCTTTGCACGCCTACAGGTTACAACCTTTTTGATCACCCACGATTCGGCCGGCATGGTGGTGGTACTGGAGTACTGTTTAGGAATAATCTGACTGTCAACAGAGTATCTGCTGCAGAACTTCGATTGTTTGAATACTCTGAGTGGCGTATAAAAGCAGGGACCAGACGTATTCGTTTAATCGTTGTTTACAGAATACCATACTCTGATATTCATCCCATAACTACCACAACTTTTTTTTATGAGTTTTCCAAATTTCTTGAATCTGTGGTCCTCTGTACTGACTTGCTTCTGATTACCGGTGACTTTAATATCCATGTTGATGTGACTGATGATGCTGATGCTGTTAAACTTCAGGAACTACTCGAGAGTACTGGTCTACAGCAACATGTCAATGTCCCAACTCATATCCATGGACATACTTTAGATCTTATCATAACAAGACTTTCCGAAAATATCATTGCTTCTCCACCTCGAAATGATCATTTTTTTTTCGGATCACATGCCTGTTCATTGTAATCTTCTAGTCTAATCCACATATCCTACAGGAAAATTAAATCCATCAATGTTGATGCCTTCCGTAATGATCTCTCTAATTCAGATCTCTGTAAGAACATGCTTTCGATGGAGCTCAATGATCTAGTTGATAGTTACAATGATACATTGTCCTCAACATTGGATCGACATGCACCTGTGAAATGCAAAACAGTTATAAAAAGACCGACCGTTCCCTGGTTTACCGAGGAAGTCAAGATAGCGAAAGAGCACGAAGGCGAGCAGAAAGGAAATGGCGGTGGACTAAACTGCATAGTGATTTCCTTCTATATAAATCTAAGAAAAATCAAGCTACATTTATAATGAAGCGTGCACGTAAAGAATACTACTCTACCTTTATACATGAAAATAGCAGTGATCATCGTAAACTGTTCAAGTCTGCCAAATTTCTTTTTAATCAAGAAACTGATTTGCACTTTCCAGAATACAGTGATAGCACGGCTCCTGCAAATAAATCCTGCAAAGCAGCATTTTTCCATCTATGTAATATTAGACGTATCAGGAAGTTTCTCAGTTTTGATACGACACAAATTCTTGTTAACGCTTTCATTACGAGTCGATTGGACTACTGTAACAGCCTCCTGTACGGTCTGCCCGCCAACCAGATATGCAAGCTCCAACGAGTACAGAACTCCGCAGCAAGACTGATCTGTGATATTAATCGGTTTGATCACATCACCCCTGTGCTGTATAAATTACATTGGCTTCCTGTTAAATACAGAATTAACTTTAAAATATTACTCATCACTTATAAGGCCATTAACGGAATTGCTCCTGAATACATCTCTGAACTCATTAAATTGAAGGCTGCAAGCAGATATAATTTACGATCATCAACTGAATTGTTGCTCGATATACCGAGAACAAAAACATTAAAGACGCTGGGAGACCAATTGTTTGAAGTAGCAGCACCTACGTTGTGGAACAGCCTCCCGGCTGAAATTCGTAATGCATGTAATATTTCTACGTTTAAGAAAATGCTTAAAACGCATTTTTTTATAAAAGCATTTTCCTCCATGTTATGACCAGAACAACTTTTATCTAGTTCTGATCTAGATTTATTGTATGACGTTTTGTAAATTAGTGTATATTTAGATTTTATCAGCAAATTTTACGATACTATGTAATGCGCGAGTGAGCATCTATCTATGTAACACGTTCATTACAATAGCTCTATATGAAGATGAGCTCCTTTCTTTGACCCCGCCGCCCATGAACGCTCTGCCACAGCCAGGTGTTGAATAAAAGTCAAAGATGTGACGCTGCTTTGGCCCTGGCTTGCACGAGTGAAAGAGAACGACCACATCGTAACTATGCTGCTCCCACAGAATATCTGCCTAAAATAATGAAAAAAATTCTATAGTTATAGAAACATGCGTGCCAGTTTTGGAAAACGGGGCGACTGTTTGCTTCCACGCCATTTCGAGCGAATAAATTAAAGATATGGTTTCAGAATTTCAGATTGACGAAGATTTTTAACTGATGTTTCGACGGAAAAGCTAATTTTAATACATTGTGTTCAGATTTGCGTAAAGCTTTCAGTGTTAGATTGCGTTTTAAAAACACGGATTTTTCCCATTTCAACTAAACAGCGCAGGCGTTATAAAACGGTTATTTTATAATGAACTATAATCAGTAATTCTTTATGGCAATAGACCTTTCCCCTTTTAGCTTTTAACAACTCAAATTGACCTGGATAATCAACTACCGTCACGCGTTGCGCACTTGCATGAAAGCTAAAAGGGGAAAGGTCTAATGGTGGATATATGTTTATTATATCTGTACAGAGATTTATGCACAGCAGAATGATGAAATAAAAGTCGTATTTCACCGTGTAAATTAATTTCATGCATGGACGTATGTCATTTTGGCGGCAATTTATTTACATTTTCTTTCAGTCAAGATGGCGTCGAAATATAGGAGTGAGATTCAAAACATAATTCTTATCAGGCGCGGATCTAGGGGTAGGCAACATAGTCAAGTGACTATGGTAAATTATCCAGATAATAATTACAAAATTCCCAGTTCCCAATTCCCAAAGTATTCATTCATAAGTGGAAACATGCAGTTCATTATTCATATTTTCATATCACAGTCCAGTTATTTATTGATATACAGCTCATTGGTATTTAGGCAAGCCATGAAGCAAGCCAATGAGAGGCAGCTATTTTGCCTATGCCTGGCGGCCGATACAGCCTTTTGATTGGCTAATAGCTTTTTTGCCTAACCAAGACGAATTTGCCTAACTTGACGTAATCAGGAAGCCTTATGATTGGGTAATTTTTTTAAATTCTATTCTTTCATTGGCTTGCAGATTTTGCCTATCTTTGGCGAGTTGAACCAATCACTGTGCTTCGTAAGCATGCCTGTGTTAGTCATGTTAGGCAAAGACTAGGCAAAGAGTGGAAACATGCCTTTTCAATCGCTCTGAGCATCGAAGGATTAAATTTCGAAGTTAGCTTCTGCTTTTTCGCGTTCGCTTTGTTATTGTGTTATTTTACAATGTTTTCATCGTCTTGTAGTGATTTGTACGAGCCATTCGAACGATTTAGAGTGTCTAAATGACGGGATATTTATGCGACGTTCGATCTTTGTATTTATGAAGGCGACACGCTCAAGGCTAAGCTCAGATTTTTGTGTGGAGTTATATGTGCCGAAGCACGCTCGTAATGGCAAGAAAAAGGCTTGTACTGCAATAAGCTAACTATATATTTTGTTTATTCCATTCTACGCTTCTATATAACTGTGTTTTTAGATCTCAAATCGGCAAAATGATTGTCGAACAACAACAAGCATGGCTAGTTCTTTTAGTATTCAAATATAAATTTACATATGTCTGCGCTGGCCGGGTCAAAGGTTGCTATATATGAATATATAACTTAAGTATGATATGAAAGACACAAACTTAGCATGTTCACTTTTAGTTACTTATTATTATTCGTATTCCTGATGTATATCACATGTATAAATAAGTTCATAGGAAAATTATGAGTGAATATACATCATGATGTTGACATTGTAACTCTGCCGTCAGTCCACGTATAATTGATGGATACTTGATCTAGCGTGATTTTAATTTCCTGTTTTGAATATTTTCCTACTTCTCCTCAGTTCTGATGCTTCGGCCCTAGTACTAGTAGGTAACAATAATACTCAAAGTTGGGGCTACTCAAAGTAGGGACTAAGGAATACTTTGGGAATAAGTAGATTCTCCCCTCAATGTCTTCTCAAAAACAATTATTAGCGTATATTTTTAAAAGTGTATCCTAGGCATGCTGATGAGCCCTAATATGGGGCGAAGCAGTTCAGCTGGTAGTCTCAAGACTATCATTTAAAAAATCGAACATCTTTTAATATGCTTGTAAATGAGTCATGCGTGACGTCATAAAATTTGACTAAGGTATGAAAAATCCTAGATCCGCACCTGATTCTTATATTTAAAATATTTTTGCATTCAGCACATTCTTAAATCTTTCAGAAAGAATATCTAACTTCTATTGAACAAAATTACAAAGGAACTGAACGGTAATAAATATGTTTTGATGTATAAAATTTCGATTTTTGTTGCTGTATTTTTGTATATAACTGTCCTTGTCAAATTGATCACTATACACATTTAATAAATAAATCACTTCACGGTTGGCTCGTTTGTACGACTTTTATTATGAACTCGTTGTGAAGGATCACAAACTCACTCGTTCGTTTTGCGATCCTTCACAACTCGTCCATAAAAATCGTACGCACTCGCCAACCATAAAGTAATCTCTATAAAACACCTCGTTTTAACAGTTAAGACAGAAAACAGATGTACAAGAATGTAATTTTTTTCTTCCTTCAATAAAAAAATGGTGAAGAATTCAGGCTTGAAAGCATTTTGTAAAATACATTACACAAAATACATACACAGTAGGTATATAGGTCTTGCATATAGCAATAACCTTACCCGTGTTTTAAGTAAATCTTTCAGCACGGACACATTTGTCTTTCCCTTTTTTTTAACCTTCTCCAATCTTTGCCTTTCCTTTTCCACATTACTAATTTTGCGCTATATTAAGAAACAGTAATTTATTAATCTAACCCACTTAGACATTGCATGTCACTCTCAGAACAATTGACTTCAACCTTTGATCTATTTCCTTCTGGATTGACTTCACTGGTCGTCAAATCTAGATATTAAACAAATGAAATTATAATATGGTTTAACAAATAACATTTTCAACCATTCATTCCAGTGGCATCAATCCTCCTGTTTAAAAACAAGCATTATGAAATCAGTGTAAGAAATAGTATTTATATATATAGTATATATAGTAATAGTACAAAGCCTCTCTACCTCTGTGAATTTAACATAACTTGTATAAAAATAGTTCAACAAAGAGTTTCATTGTCCAGACTTATATCCAGACTCAAAGTATAGCTGTGGTACAAAATGCTTTTGAAGAAAGTCAAAGTTTTCTTCATTGGAATCCACCAGTGAAAAGCACAATCTTTAAGGTGCCTATATCACTCGTGGGATCTTTATGCATTTGAATAGAACGTAAAAAGTTAGTTAATATGTTAAAAAACATTTTTTGATTTACTGCAATAATTTCGAAGATACAAGCCTCTAAACTACCTGCGGTTCCGGAATCCCAACCTCCTGGGTTTAAACACAGCTATTCAATTTGAAACTGCCCATTGTTTATAGGAGCCTGGGACTCAGGAATTGCAGGTAGTTTAAAGGCTAGTATCTTCAAAATTATTGCACTAAATCAAAAAATATTTTTTAATATATTAACTAACTTTTTACGTTCTTTTCAAATGCATAAAGATCCCACAAGTGATATAGGCACTTTAACAAGGTGCGAAATTAATTAATTTATTTTTTTTAAATGTTCCATGAAATAAAACATATTAAAATAATTTGGTACATACAAGATTTGATTCAAATATGCATATTTGCACATCCCATGGCTTAGCAAATTGTTCAGGCATTTAAATTAAAACAATAAGTTAATTTCTAAAGATCTTCTACTTTTAATTTTCACTTTGAAATTTTCTGATTCATAATTGTGCATCATCCATACTATTCAGGCAGAGTGGCAGACCATTTTACACTTGAATACACTAATCTTACAGAACAGTCTTAATTCTGATCTAAAAGCCAGAGCATGTGTTGGTTTCAAAATCCTTCTATGTTTACATTTAAATCTTATCTCATTGACTGGGTTTCTGTATGCACAATCATGTATGTCAACCAATCAACATATTAGAACATCACCTAATTGTAATTTTAGTTGGTCTGATTGATGAGTTTGTAACAAAATTGAAAAAGTTAACTAATTTCTAGCTTCAACTCATTTTTTCAACTTCAAATACAATACAAATCATTTATATTTTCTTTTACAAATAAAAAAATTGGGGGGTTTTCTTGAAAAAAATATAAGTGTTTGGCAAATTTCCTCCCAGTAAAGCATGGTTCTTTTTCCAGCATATTTTTAATGAAAATGGAAGGATTTTATTTTGGATTGCACATATTTTACACACTGCTGCAGCTCACACAAGTGAAAGAAAACTTGATACCTTATTGACCTTATTGTAGCCTTTGGCACAGAATAAAAAATTCTTTGGTTGTTTGAAGCAGCATTTTATTAATCTTAAGTTAGTGCCTACTGCATACAATCAGTTACCGCATGTATGAGTAAGTTCAAGCTAGCGCATTTAACAGCATCGAGAGAATATGGAGACACAAGTATAGTAGAACCGGGCCGGCCAAATCTATCCGCATCGACGGCATCGTGTAGAAATTTTCAATATAAAAATCAAAGAAGGAAACATTTTTTCATGTTTTATTGCCGTTTATGCCGATACTAAACTTACTAAATATTTCTAACATACACCTTATGCAAATTATGTTCTAAAAATATTCTAAAAAAAGATTGAAAACATGAATTATTCATAATTTACAATCATACCTGTAGTTATTACCTGTAGTAACATCTGCGCTTACGCTCCGTTTATCCGCCATATTGATACGAATTTGTGTATTTAAAGCGGGGAACGGGGAAGAGTATGTGTGCCAGTTGTGTTCCAGAATATACGATTATGAGTAATCCTAGAGAGATGCAGACTTACTGATTATAGGTAATCCTAGGTGTGATACCATGTTGAATAAACAGGGGAATGAAAACCAGAGAACAAACTTTTAAGGCAGAACTGTAATACATGAGTTGCCAGGCTCGATTGCACCGAGGTGTCACTTTCGTTAACATCAAGGTCAGTGAAACCAATTACCTCCCATGAAGAAGGGTGAATAACTAATCCCTTCTTTATCTTTATTTCACCAAAGAAGAGACCACCAAACTTCCCACTTTCTAAAATACCCTGTTGTTTTGCACTTTCCCTCAAAGTCTCCATTACTGAAACTACTCATCCAGATTTCGAAGAACAAAAGTTCTTATAATCAGATTGTGTTCTGCTGCTTGGAAGTTTTAAAAATCCAGATGCACAAATGTAATCTTAAACTGAGTGAGACTTTAAATAGATTCAGAGGCACCACCTCAAGACCAACGGATGCCACCTCATCTGTCATGATGGAATATTTTTAAATATTAAAAAGCTTTAAAAAGCTTTGGCTTGGTCATGTAAGAGAGTTTGCAAAAACATGTCTGATTTATCTGAAATTGTTGGTATTTTATGTACGGAGCTTACATGTTTCTGAAGTAACTCATGTGTTGCAAAATTGTGCTCTTCTTGCAAACAATCTTCCCAGTAATAAACATTGTATTCTTGCTATTGGATATGCTTACTTATACCTTCATACAACCGCTTTGTATAACAACACTAGTGTGCGTAACTTACTTTTCCTCAGGTGAAAATCAGTAACCCTCTCAAATCTCTGATGATGTCATTGTGCAAGTTTCTGATAGCAGTTCAATAGATTCAGATGATGGAATATGGAACACTCCTCTTTTCAGCCCTATGAAATCAGTTTCTCTCAGAGTTGCAGGATATGACAGCTGGGATGAATGAGTTTGGTCTTATTGATTTTTAAAGCTAAATAAGGATGCTGTCATACTTGTGCTTTCCCCAAGAGTTGAAGAATCTGTGATTGATACCGAAAAAGTTAAGGGACTTATTCAACTTGAAGAGGAAGAGCTTGAAGAAAGAGAGTTCACTCTTACCCAATTGCTTATTTCTTAAAACAGTTTATTGATGGATTGGAAAGCCAAGCAGAAGGTATGATTTTTACACTTGTACTGATATGTAAAAGCTAGAGCACAAAGAATAAAATATCATTATTGTGCATTCTGTACCAACCACAAGGATAGCTTTAAAAAGCTTGGTATTTATTAGATAGTTATTTTTAGATACATATTACTTCAAAACTTTACAATATATGCGTGGTAGAATTGGAAACTTATTCTTAGACTACTAGTAGAGATAAATGTAGCTAGGTTCTATTACAATTTGAATGAGAGATTCAATAAGAAAGCTAAGTGGCTGACTTTAAGTTTCAGTAATATAATTAATATTGAATTGATGTCAATTGAACATTGAGGATGGAGTGCAATGCATCTATATATTGCAAAAAAATAGGGTTGTGCTTTTGATACAGTAACAGAAAGGAGTGCTGTTTGTATACTGCTAGTCAAAGTTGTCAGATTGTCACGTTGATATACTATAATCCCAAAGCCAAAATTTAAAAATGAAATTTGACTATTGAGCAAAAAGCAAATAAATATTTACAATATAAAATTTTCAAGAAAATTGTTTTAAGCTTTTCCAGGACATACACGACAAAAATTATCACGCAATTATTTCAAACGCTAAATACTGGAAAAATAGTAGGCCTATATTTACACGATTATCACAATTTACAAATGCCGTACTTTGTTATAAAGCCAATAACAATCTGCACTGCGTGACATATTACTGTATCAATGCTTGTATATATCGACTGCAGAGTGCAGTGTTCTAGTTCTGATGAAAGGCTTCAAAAAACTGGTTTTATATAAATATTGCTTACATAAATTATTTATATAAATCTTACTTTTATATAGGAAGTTAAAAGTAAAAAATCGCACCAACCAATAATGCAAATGTTGCACTATAGCAATGTGTTCTGTGCATCATTATATATTTTGCATCCTTCATATTGTTTCCTCTGTATTTCCTCTACATTTCGTCACTCCTCACAGCAATGCCTATATTTGGAGATTCTTACTTTTTTTTTTCACAGCACATTCACACTATAAGTTCACAATAGATGGATGGTAATGTTACAAAGAAAATAAAGTATATACAAATGTAATTTCTAACTCAAAGGCTGATTTCCACCGTCGCGTTTCTGTCTACGTACGTACGTGTACCTACGTACGTAAAGCTATTTCCTCTTCAACATAACCGCGGCGTATTTTGCACAAATTTTTACACATGTTAATGCGGGAGCTAATAAACCTGTTCGCAGGAAATTTGAAAAAACAAAATGGCAGATCCGACCATGGACTTTTACTTACTTCTTTACGTTCGGCAAAAGCTGAAAAAATTAAATAAATACAAGAAGAGATGGTGGATTCGTGATATTATACGCCGACGTGATGAATTGGGAGAATATAACCGCCTCATCATGGAGATGCACCTAGGTGATCACGAATCGTTCTATCGCTATTTCCGTATGTCGTCTGAAAGATTCGACCATCTTCTTTCTCTTGTTGGCCTTCGACTGTCCAAAAGCTCTTTGTATAGGGAGCCTATCCGTGCCAGTCAAAGACTCGCTATAACACTGCGGTTTTTAAGTACTAGCGACTGGCAACTTACGATTTCCTTCAGTTTTCGTGTTGGACATTCAACTGTTTGCAAGATAGTGGGAGACACCTGCTCTGCATTGTGGAGTGCCTTGCAAACATACATTAAACTTTCCTCAACAACACAATGGGAAAAAATCGCCGGTGAATTTTGGGAACTCTGGAACTTCCCAACGTGCTGCGGCGCCATTGATGGAAACACCTTGTCATGCAATGCCCACCCAATGCTGGATCGTCCTTTTACAATTATAAAGGTATTGTACTACAATGGAATAAGAATTTATCACGTTTGGTTTTCCTTCAGTTTGGAGGCAATTTAATAAAAACATGAAAATATTTATTTACCAGGTATTCATAGCGTTGTCCTGTGAGCATGCTGCGATGCTAGATATGTTTTTACCATAGTTGATATTGGCAGCGCTGGAAGAAACTGTGATGGATCAGTGTTCAGCAATTCCGCATTTGGACAGTCACTTTCCAATGGAACATTGAATCTTCTAGTTCCAGCTATTCTACCAAATTCAGATGGGCAACGATGTCCTTACATGTTCACTGCAGATGATCCTTTCCCATTGAAAACATGGTTGATGAAGCCCTATTCTGGAACTTTGCTTCCGGAGAATACGAAAATCTTCAATTATCGCCTTTCTAGAGCAAGACGAGTTATCGAAATAAATTTTGGCATTGCAGCTGCAAGATGGAGAGTGTGGAGAAGACCAATTATAGCTACAGCTGAGAAAGTAACAAGTATTGGCAAAGTTGTTTGTGTGTTACATAATTATTTAATGACAGTTCTGTCTCCCTCATGAAGCTAAGAGATACTGTCCAGTTGGTTTTGCTGACTTGAGTGATAGGTAACCACGCAGCCGCAGGGCATAAAAGTTTAAATATTCTCTAAACTAGTGTCATGGTTATAATGCATAGTGTTTTCCGATGTTTGTTTTACTTGGTATAGGTTTGGAAATCATGGCCCTTGAGCATGGAGAAGCATAACTGAAGGGGATACTGGCATGATTTCAATTCAAAGACAAGGAGGAAATAATTATTCAAAAGATGCTAAACATGTGCAAGAAATGTTGACACAATACTTCAGTGGAGATTGAGGAGAAGTCTCCTGGCAGTACGAACATGTCAGAGAAACTGGTGTTGTTACTGAAGATTAGGAACAAACAATATTTTCAAACAGTGAGGATAAAATTGTTGTGCAAGTGCCACTTGTTGACTACAGCACTATACATAAACTAATATTGAGTTGATGGCCTATTTTCAGTTTCTTCAGAACATGGCAAAGTAACTGAACATGCAATTTCTTCAATCAATATAGACCCAAAAACAAAAACTATTTCACATCAATTACATGTGATCAAATGGAAACCAGGAATGTTTTATACTGGAACTATACATTGCATGTAAACAGAAACTCTTCCAAAATGTAGTAGGGGAAAAAATTGTGAGTATAGTACTCCTTGTCACAAATGATATGATTGATCCATTGTAGTTTAAATATTGCCCTTATATATAATATATCATCTACCATTTATTAATTATTAATATGAGCCATTTTGCAACAACAAATTGTTATGTTACACAACATATTTATGCCAATTAACTATTATTTTTTCAAAGTCTAACACATAAAATATCATTACTATGAACATTGATAGAATGCACACTGTCCTTCTTAAACATTTAGCCTTCAAAATTAAGACAAAAACAACATAAAAATTCCCATGCATACTCAGTTAACAAAAAATAAAATACAAACAATTATAACTTACACAAACAGAACTTGTTTTAACATTCAAATAATATAATATCCTTTCAATTTATCATCTGAAAAATTATGTTGATTCTTGAGTATATGGAGTGGAAATGTCTGTTGTAGATCCTCTACCAAGGATATGAATACTTGCTACGCTGCATCTATTATTGTAAATAGAACCGGATGTGAATAGAACCGGAAGTTAGATCTTAGATCATAGTTTTGATTGACATTTAAGTTTAACGTTAGGAGAAAAAGCGGCAACTTCGATCTCGGACGGAGAAGTCAAACTGTTATTAAAAGCTAACCTGATATTTAAGATATAAGCTAACCTGAAACGATGTAGCTGAGATGTAAACGTGGGTGGAAGCCCCACAGAAGTGAGTACAGATGATATGTTTTGTAAATAGAGATACACATTAACGTTATGACGGTCATAATATTATTTAATTTT